TAGCTGTGACAAATGTACAATACTAATGTAAAATGTTAATAATTGGGGGGAACTGGGTATGGAGCATATGGGAAAATCTCTGTACTATCTTTGCAATTTTTTTGTAAATATATAACTATTCTAAAATTAAAAGCTTATTTTAAAACAGTGAGTTAGGGATAGTTCTCTTATTTTCTTTTTCAGCACCAGTTTGTATAAAACAGTATCTCCTTCACTAAAGATTTGGTTGAACTCCTCTGTAAAATCATCAGAGTCTAGCAGCTTTTTTTTGGGGGGGTGGGGGTGAGGTGGGGGGAGGGCATATTGCTTAAAAAATACAAAAACATTTTAAGCATTTATAAAAATATGAAGAAAAATATAATATACCCTGAACTTCCATAGTTATCAAATATGGACATTTTTTTTTCCATCTAAACTTCCACCTACTTCCCTCTTCCATTATTATTTAGAAACAAACCCACACATTACAGCATTCCACTGGTAAATATTTCTGTATGTACCTCTAATCAATAAGAACTTAAAAAAGCACAACCATAATATCAAGATTACACCTAAATGTTAATAATTAATTTTTTTAAAGGTTTTATTGGGGAATTAGGGGAGGGAACAGCATTGGGGAATAGGGGGAAGGGAACAGACAAGTTGCTGTCCTTTGGTTCTTCAGTCTAATTGTGGAAGACATCGCTTCATTGGCCCATGTTGGTATTGCGATCATTGCGGTCTTCCTGGCTGAGGCAGATCGGTTGCCGGCCATTGGACAGCAGTGGCTGCCAGACACTCATGGTAGCTTACTGCAGCCCACTGCAGCTCCACTGCAGCCTACGCCTTCACCAGCGACTCATGGCAGCCCAGCTCCAGGTTGAGCTGTTGTTCACCATCTTAGCTGTACAGGGAGCAGCATCACTGGCCCATGTGGGATCCAAACCAGTGGCCCTGTTGCTCAGAGCTCATGCTCCCAAGCAAACTCTTAACCAATGATCCATTCGGCTGACCCTTAACAGTTAATTCTTAATATCATCAAATACCTAGCATTCACCTGTCTAAATGTCTTAAAAATTTTTATATGAATAAGTTCGTGTTGCTCAAAATTTTCTATTTCTTCATTTTGTGCTTCATTGGTTTCTGCTTTTTATATTACTGTTTCCTCTTCTTTGCTTAGATTTACTTTATTATTCTTTATTACTGCTTGAGTTGGAGACTAATCAATTTTTAATCTTTTCTTTTTCTACTACCTGCATTTAAAGCTACATATTTCACTCTAAGTATTAATTTGATTACAGCTCATAAGTTTGTGGATATGTATAGTATTTTCATTTTCATTTTGTTTTAATATTTTGAATTTCCCTTTGGTTTGTTTAAAGTGAATTACTTAAAATATTCCACATAATTTTCAAAGTTATTCAATTTTGGGGCTGTTATTGATTTCTGATATTACTGACTATAGACAGAAATCATAAAAGGTATGACATTGATGTATTTGTACAATAAGTATTTTATGTTATAAATTTCATGGAAGCAAGGACTTCATTTTTAACTTCTGCTGGATATGTTGAATAGATACATTAAGAAAAAAATAATGTACAGGGTCTATTTCCAAAATTTAGTAAATACACAGAAACCTCTCTTAAAGTCTGGCCTACCATTTAAAACTCTTAGAAAGTCATGTCCACTTGGTTTTCTAAAAATTTATTTATTTATTTAATATTTATTTATGCTTAAAGATTTTATTGGGGAATTGTTGAAGGGAACAGTGTTGGGGAATTGGGGAAGGGGAACAGCCAAATTGTTGTCCTTCAGTCTTAGTTGTGGAGTACAGAGCTATCTCAGCTCCAAGTCCAGTCACCATCCGGCCGCCTGTCAGCAGCTCAGGGCAGCTCAGCTCAAGGTGCCATGTTCAATCTTAGTTACATCCCATGCAGGAGTTGAACCGGCAACCTTATTGTTAGGAGGATGTGCTCTTTCCAGCTGAGCCATCCTGCTACCTGTTGGCAGCTTACTGGTCCATGTGGGAATCAAACCGGTGACCTTGTTGCTCAGAGCTTACATTCTTAACCAACTGAGCCACTCGGCAGGCCCCATTTGGCTTTTTAAATTATTAACTTGGCTTTTGTACGCAAGAAAAAAAACTGCCCTGGCTCTTTTTCCAAATATGGATTGCGGATATTCTTCAGCCAATGATAAACACTGTGTATGATGTATTGTCCCAGTTGCCTGTTCTTTGGATTATAGTTTAAACTCAACTGCCATTACTGTTTCTAACACCAGTAATATTAACACAGACAAATCCAAGCTTTTTATGCTGCTAAAACCTCAGTTTTTCCAAAATCATTTGCATTTCTATACACTGACAATAAACTAACAGAAAGAAAGATTAAGAAAACAATCTTATTCATAATTGCATCAAAAGAATAAATACCTAGGAAAAAATTTAACCAAGGAGATGAAAGACCTGTACACTGAAAACTGTAAGACATTGATGATAGAAATTGAAGAATATACAAATAAATAGAAATATATTCCATGCTTATGGATTACAATACTATTAACATATCCATACTACCCAAAGTGACCTACAGATTTAATGCATCCCTATCAAAATCCCAATGGCATTTTTCACAGAAATAAACCAAAGAATCCCCAAATTCGTAAGGAACCACAAAAACCCTTAATAGTCAAAACAATCTTCAGAAAAAAGAACAAAGTTGGAGGCATCACAGTTCCTGATTTCAAACTATATTACAAAGATATAATAATCAAAACAATATTGTGTTATTATGAAAACAGAAACATAGATCAATGGAACAGAATAGAGAACCCAGAAATAAACCCATGCATACATGGTTAATTAATTTATGATAAAGGGGTCATTAATATACAATGGGGAAAAAGACAGTCTCTTCAATAAATGGTGTTGGGAAAACTGGACAGTCACATTGAAAAAAAAAAAAAAAGAAAAGAAACTGGTTCACTATTTCACACCATACACAAAATTTAACTCAAAATGGATAAAGACTTGAATGTATGACCTAAAATCATAAGCTCCTAGAAGAAACCATAGGTAGTAAGTTTCTTGATGTTAGTCTTAGCAATGATTTTTTTAAATCTGAACCAAAAGCAAAAAATAAACAAGTAAGACTACATCAAAGTAAAAAGCCTCTGCATAACAAAGGAAATCATTAACAAAATGAAAAGACAATACACAGAATGGGAGAAAATATTTGCAAATCACATATCTGATAAGGGTTTAATATCCAAAATATAAAAGAACTCATAGAACTCAATAGCAAAAAAATAAACAATCCAATGAAAAATGGGCAGAGGATTTGAATAGGTGTTTTTCCAAAGAAGAAGACATATAGATGGCCAACAGGTACATGAAAAGGTGCTCAACATCACTAATCATGGAATACAAATCAAGACCACAATGACATTTTCACCTCCCACCTGTTAGAATGGCTATCATCAAAAAGACAAGAAAGAAGTGTTGAGGATGCGGAAAAAAAGGGAACTCTGTGCACGGTTGGTGGGAATGTAAATTGGCGCAGCCATTATGGAAATCAGTATGACATTTCCCCAAGAAATTAAAAATACAACCACCATATGTCCAGCAGTTCTACTTCTAGGTATTTATATAAAGGAAATAAAATTACTGTCTTCAGAAGATATTTGTACTCCCATGTTCACTGCAGTGTTATTTACAATAGCCAAGAAATGGAAACAACCTAAGTGTGTGTGCATCAACAGATGAATGAATAAAACATGTTATATATACTCTGTGTGTGTGTGTGTGTAATGTGAATATATATATATATGTGTGTGTGTGTGTGTATATATATATATATATATATATATATATATATATAATTCAGCAGGAAAAAAGCAGGAAATCCTGCCATTTGCAACAACATGGGTGGATCTTGGGGGCATTATGCTAAGTGAAATAAGTCAAACAGAGGAAGACAAATACTGTATGATCTCACATATATGTGGTATCTTTAAAAAATGAACTCAAAGATCTCTGCAGATGGGTGGCTGCCAGAGGTAGGGGAGGGGGGGTCAAAAGTAAAACTTTTCAGTTATATAATAAATAAGTCCTGAGGATGTAATGTACAGCATGGGGACTATAGTTATTAACGCTGTGCTGCCTGTTTGAAAGTTGCTAAGTGAGTAGATCTTAAAAGTTCTCATCACAAGAAAAAAACAGTCTAAGTATGGTCATAGATGTTAACTAGCCTTATTGTGGTGATTATCTCAAATCATTGTTATATACCTGACACTAACATGTCAATGATATCTCAATTGAAAGAAAAACAGAAAAAAAAGCTTAATTCACCTTGTACCCATTCTATCCTCCCTTCCTTGACTATTAGCAGTTAGAAAATCAGTTCTATCATCCACTGGGCTACTGTGAACAGCCATCTTCTAATTCTACCAAAACCTAAAACCTGACCCTAAGAAAGCTAGTAGTAGGAGCTGGGATGTTTAGGGACTATAGATAGCTCCATGCCCCTCTTAATTCCTGGATTTTCAAACTCTGAATTTCCCTTTTTGGTTCCCTTTTGTCTGCCAGAGGCCAGACTGTACAGCTGTTCAGCAATGGCAAGAAGAAAGGCATACGAGGCAAAATCCTGACCATTCACCATGGCAATGTCTCCTGGGTTTTGGGCAATAGTCCTGTTTTTACATGTTTCTCTTAAGTGGAAAGAAATTATTTCTTCTTGCTTAAATAACAGGTATTCAACATTGTGACTTTTGCATTTTACGTTACTAAAAGGAAAAGTAAACTCACGTGCTGTTGAGGGCAGGGAACAAGGAGGTTAAAAACAAGACTAGGTGTAAATCTTTCAAATACTATGCAGATATTGAGAGAAGAGAGCCCTGCTGTTAAATTGAGACCCACTAGAGACCATGAACAGATACAGGCCACAGGAGTAGAGTTTCTTCAATGTGTTTTTGTCCAAGTTTGTATCAGCTAACCCAGCCAACTCCAGGATCGGCACCATAGCTGACTGCTCATACTGTGGAGCTGAATGAGTAAGATCTGGCGAGGGCTACTGATGCTATTAAGTGCCTCATTCTCCAACAACAGGGGAACCAAAAATTCTGATCTCCCTACTTCCTCAAATTCTTTTTTTTCCCCCTCAGATTCCTAAAATAACTGTCAATATCTCAGTTTTTGATCATTATTCTTTGGATGTTCATTGTGCAAAAAAAAGAGGTATGGTTATGAATTTAGATGATGGTATAGTAGAGTAACACCCAGCCAGTGTCTGAGTATCTGGATATATGAGATCTTGTAACAGGGTAAATAGGGATCCTGTGTTTCCTTCTTGCCTTCAGATGAGTAATAAAGAATTGGTATTTTTTTGGGCTGGCCAAGTGGCACATTGGTTAGGAGTTGGCTTGGGAAGCCAGCTCTGAGCAGCAGGGCCTGGGTTCGGATCCCACATGAGAGCCAGTGATGCTGTGCCTTCTACCGCTAAGATGGTGAACAACAGCTCGACCTGGAGCTGGGCTGCCCTGAGTCACTGGTGATGGCATAGGCTGCAGTGGGGCTGGCTGGCAGCAGGCATTAGCTTTTGTGAGCTGCCATAAGCGGCCGTCCAATGGCTGGTGAGCGACTGCCTCACCTGGGAAGAGTTCAATGATAATACCAACATGGGCCAGTGAAGCCACATCCTCCACAACTAGACTGAAGAACAAAAGGATGGCAACTTGTCTGTTTCCCTTCCCCGATTTTCCAATGCTGTTCCCCTCCCCCAATTCCCCAAAATTAAAAAAAAAAAAAATGGTATTTTTCTTTTCCCCAAATAGAAATTAATCATTGAGATGAAAAGAAGCCACAGAGTATTGAGGTTTTACATAATTAACCCAAGCATTTTAAAAATTGTGTTTGGTAGGATATTAGTACACTGTAGATATTAATATCTCTTCAATCAAAAACAAAGACAAGTCACAGTGGTATAAGCAATATTCATCTAAATTTAAAAATAAATAAATGTAAGGAAACAGCAAATACACTTAAGCCATTGTTTACATCATTTTAAATACTCTCTGAGAGATATTTTGTGTCATAAATACATATAAAAAGCATTTTTCCTATTTTTTGAAATCCAAATACATCTTTTTAACTAATAAACTCTTACTTCTATTCAATAAGTAAAACTGTCTTTAGAAGTTTGGAGAAAAAAATATGATCAGAAGGAACTTGGCTTACAAAATATTAATAAACTAAATTTCAAGTAATCAAAACAATTTAGAATAGTGTAAGAATATATAATGGTTAATAGAAAAGTATAAGCAGTCCAGTAATTAACCCAAATTGATATGGCTATTTGAATTATGATAAAGGGGATAGTAAAGGTTAGATGATTGAATAAATGATGTTGCAAAATTAACTATCAATTTGTGAAAACATTCTTTTTGATCCCTACCTCACGCCAATTTAATTTCATGTAGAATTTGCAAAGATTTATAGAAAGAAAAATAAGAATTATATACATTCTAGAAGATAATGAGACTGAATATCTTTATTCTCCTGGGGTAGAATGGACCTTTTTACACGTAACAAAACTCAAGATAACATTAGAGTCTTAGGACAGAATAGATGGTGCAGTAAACTGAGCCAGTGGTAGGGAACACAAGCTGACACACCATTTCCCAGAATGAAGAGAAGTACAATCTTATAGCAGTTTGTGAAAAATAATGAAAGGTAAGTAGGAAAACAATGGTGATAGTTAGTTCATGGAAGAAAGAAGTTTGAACAAAGGAAGCAAATATGAAGTTTGTAATATACCAAAAGAAAGCATTCCCAAAGACTTGAGTTAACAGAACAAAAGAGCATACAGAATTGATAAAAACCAGTGAAGTAACAAACCCATGGTCACACAACTAACAACTGGTAGACCTGCACTTTGAATCCAGACCTGCCTCACTCACATAGTAGGTGCTCAAGCTCATGTTCTTCTTCCTTCCAAATATTATGTCAAACAAATAAGGTCGCGAACTCATCCTAGGAAAAGTGCTACACACCTCATTGTTGAATATCACTACGGTCACCTTTGAAGTACTCCCCTTGGGAAGCTATGCACCAATGCCAGTGCCTAGTCCGCCTTTCAAAGCAATTTTGGAACTCTTTCTGGAATGGCCATCAGAGCTATTGCTGTATTACCCTTGATGTCCTGAATGTCATCAAAATGTCTTCCTTTCAATATTTCCTTTATCTTCTGGTAAAGGAAAAAGTCATTGGGGGCCAGATCAGGTGAGTAGGGAAGGTGTTCCAATACAGTTATTTGTTTACTGGCTAAAAACTCCCTTACAGACAGTGCCCTGTGAGGGGGTGCATTGTCGTGATGCAAGAGCCATGAATTGTTGGTGAAAAGTTCAGGTTATTTTTGTCTAACTTTTTCATGCAGCCTTTTCAGCACTTCCAAATAATAAACCCGGTTGACTGTTTGCCCAGTTGGTACAAATTCATAATGAATAATCTCTCTGATATCAAAAAAGTTTAGCAACGCCATTGCAACAAGTTCGCGAACTTAATTGTCAGGCCTCGTATGTGTCAGCCAGCCATTAAAAAGAAATTTCTTGGGCCGGCTGAGTGGCGCATTGGTTAAGAGCTGGCTTGGTACACCAGCTCTGAGCAGCAGGGCCCAGGTTCGGATCCCACATCAGGGCCAGTGACACTGCCCTCTACAGCTAAGACCTGGAGCTGGGCTGCTGTGGGTCACCGGCAATGGCGTAGGCTGCAGCCCCTCCTGCAATGGGCTGCCATAAGCTACCGTGAGTGGCCAACAGCCAGCATGAGCAGCCGGCAGCCGGTGTGAGCTGCCAAGAGCTGCCGTGAGTGGCCGTCCAGAGGCCAGTAACCAATCTGCCTCACTTGGGAAGAGTGCAATAATCACAATACCAACATGGGCCAGTTAAGCAACATCCTCCACAACTAGACTGAAGAACAAAAGGACAGCAACTTGTCTGTTCCCCTTCCCCGATTCCCCAGCACTGTTCCCCTCCCCCTATTCCCCAATAAAATCTGTGAAAAAAAAAATCTCTCTACATGCAGTGCAGTACCATGGATTGCATTTTAAATCAGAAAAGGGACATTATTGGAAAACCTGGTGAAACTCTAACAGAACCTGGAGTTCAGTTAATAGTAACAGCTAATGTTAATCTTTTAGTTTTGATAATTATACCATAATTATGTTAAGATGTTAGTACTAGAAAACTGGTTAAAAGGGTATGCAGGTGTGCAACTTTACTATAAGTCTAAAATTATTCCAAAATGAAAAGTATGCTAAAAATTAAAATAAATATCTCAAAAATTGTGCCTTGGGTACTATCTTAAACTTATAAGAGATTTATTGCATAGTCATATTTCTGTAAGGGCATGCTTTGCATGAAAGATTTTGATTATAGCAGGTTCATTGATGATTTCAAAAATAAATCTCTACCTCAGTTATACAGCTTTTTTGAAAATATCTCTTAAATAACTTTTTCCATATCATTTTTCTTTTCATGTGGATAAAAATATAGAACACTATAAATAGTAGTCTTTTAAAACATGAGGTGATCTGATTGTGATAAACTGCTTTCCATTTCTGCTATAGACGTGACAAAAGTTCTGGGCTTGTAACAGCAAGAATTAAATTTAGAGGATTAATAGAACTGCCTGATTTAAGGAGCTGTCAGATGAAAGAATCAGGACTTCAGAAATAAATGAATCCTAGGAGCAGAAAAGCTGAAGCATATAATTAAGTAGAAAACTCACGGGGGTTTGACTAGGCAAGGAAAGGGGAACATATTGAAAAAGGGAGAAGGAAACAAAATAAAGGACATTAGTGAAAATCAGGGCTTATGGTGTCTTTGAGGAGTTGAGATGTGATCAGTTACAGAATGGGGAAGTAACAGTAATATGAATAGTGGTAAATCAGATCGTATCACAGCCTCATTCAAAGCCTTCCAATGGCTCAGAGCAGGAGTCAGAGATCCCTGGGGAACCTGATAACTTACCTCTGTTCCCCATCACTTCTCTGTCTTTATTTTCTAGGAGTCACTCTCTCCCTTGTAGCCTTTCCAGCCACCCTGTCTCCAGGCTGTGCCTCAGGCACTCCTGCCTTTGCCTGACTGATCTCCCTACCTGGGAATGTTCCTCCCCCAGATATCACCATGGTTCACTGCTTCATCTCCTTCAAGTTTGGTTCAAATACTAACTTTTCAGTAGTTTCCTACTATGAACACTCTATTTAAAATAGTGATCCCCTAGAATTCCAAATCTCCCCTCCCTTGATCTTATTTTCTCATAGCTGCCTCCACCGTCTGACACTCTAAGTCCATTGGATATCTGTTTCCCCAACCACTTGAATGTAAGCTCTTAGATTCTAACCTGTTTTTTTCACTGATGTTTCCCCAGTGCCTAGAATAGCTCCAGGCACATAGGAAGTGCTCCATGAATATTTGCTAAATCAATCAATACATAAATGTGATTCCCCCCCCCCATTACCATCATTAAATCAAGAGTAATAAAACACTGGTAACTTTTCCAAAGTCATTTTTTGAGCAACCAGAGTCATCTTTTTTGTTTGTCTGTGCTTTCTGGGCATTTTATGCACTGAACAATGACTTCTACAATGTTTTAAAAGGGGGTTTTGTTTTGTAAAAGACTACAGAGTTACCTGTCTATGATGGTTTCAAATCAGGCCCATGCACTGTCAGAGTCAGAAAGGTACATTCTTTAGAGACCTGTTCTTTTTATGAACTTAAGTAACATTTACCTATTACCAGAAAAAGTTCCACATCAGAAAAGCTTTACATGAACAAATGTTGAGTAGTATGATCCACTAAGCTAATGGAAGTGCACAATTCCAACCTCCTCATTTTAAAAGATGAAGAAACTGAGACCTATAAAAGTTTAGTCACTTCCTCACATTCAATTAGAACAGGGGTCAGCAAACTTTTGAGATGGAAGACCCGCCAGGGGTCAGCAAACTGCGGCTCGCGAGCCACATGCGGCTCT